TTTCTCTCTCTCTCTCTCTCTCTCTCTCTCTCTCTCTCTCTCTCTCTCTCTCTCTCTCTCTCTTTTATCATTATTATTGTTCCGATTATTGAAACGATCTTAGGGTTTATTATCTTCGACTACGATTTACCCCTTCATCTCTTTGATTGATTTGTTTAAAAAGAGTTTAACATCTTTTGAGTCAAACAATTTGGCGCCGTCTGTGGGGATTTCTGTAGTCGAAATCATAGTTCTCACCTGGGATATCAAAAGCAACGATCTCTATCCTTCGCACTCCATAGAGACCGGCGATGGCAAAGAAAGAAGCAAGGTTGAAGGCGATAGCGAATGTCTCAAACAACCTCTTGGACTCCCTCAACGAAGCCGGTAGAGAAGATACCGAGAATATAATACCAAGCGGTACACCGGAGGGGGAGATCTCGCCCTCTATACTCGAGGATCTGACGATCTTGCGCGAAAGAGGAACTTCAACGTCCACGGTGAAAGAAACACCACCAACAGTCAAAAAGCTGTTAGAGGAGTGGTTGACAAGCGCTCTAAACACCATGCTTGAAAAAACCCCTCGCGGAAATACCGGAGATTCGCCGACGGCGGAAATCGCTGTTGTTGCCGGCAAGCCAAGCACTGTCCCAACAAACAACACCCGCACTACCACCGATGCAAGTGATGGAGCACTCGCGACCATCCTAAAGAAAATGGAAGAAATGGAAAACGAGAACAAAATGCTTCGTGACCAAATGAAAGAACACCAGGAAAGGGTTGACAAAATATCCGGCGCCCCTAAGCTGCTGCCAAAACGCGATGTGGGAAAGTTTGTCGAGCAACCGTACAGTGAGGAAGCTGCTCCCTACCCCATCCCGAAAACCTTTAAAATGCCTCCATACTTGAAAATATACGACGGGACCACGGATCCATAAGATCATCTGATTCACTATGTCACCACGGTAAAAGGCAACGACTTGTCAAAAGAACAAGTGCCATCCGTGCTGTTGAAAAAGTTCGGGGAAACTTTGACAGGAGGAGCGTTAACATGGTATTCTCAGCTACCAGCACGGTCGATATCAACATTCGAGGAGATGGCAGATAAATTCGCTACCGCTCATGCAGGAGCAAAGAAGGCTGAAGCTAGGGTCAACGACATCTTCGCCATCAGGCAAGCGGCGGGTGAGGGACTTCGGGACTTCCTGGCCCGATTTAACAGGGTAAGAATGGGACTGCCGAATATATCGGAAGGAATGGCGGTCGCAGCCTTCCAAAACGGGCTAAGCAGAAGCGGGTTGAAGGCGACCAAGAACTTACTCAACAGACTCATGAAGTACCCTCCCACCACATGGGAGGAGATCCATAATGCCTATTGCGCCGAAGTAAGAGCAGATAAAGACGATCTCAACGGTCCAACCCAGCGACTAACGTCAGTACAGTCCGAGATAAGGAGAGATCGACGCAACGACGGACGAAGGGATCAGCTCCCACGCTTCAACAGAGAAAGGCATCAGCCCTATGTCAGAACTCCTAATCCACCTCCCCCGAGGCATACAGACGTCGTGTCACGACATATCTCGCCCCTTCGAAATGAAAGAGGTATGCC